CCTACCTCTCCATTCCCTTAGCGGCTTTAAAAACAATCCTAGTATATCAGGAGTCCTCATTTGAGGCTTGCTGCTGGACAACAGAAGTACAGGCGTACCTCCCAGCACTGTGCAAGGGCATACTGTCTGTGGTTTCTTGCAGGGCCCCAACAGGGCTCACGGGTCCCCACAGCATGGCGCTGTTAAAGGTGGTCCCCAGAAAGAGGGAAGGGTGAAGCTCGCAGGGAGGAGAAGCTAGGAAAGAGGGAGAAGGAAGGATGGAGAGCAAGAAGGAGAGCTGGAGGAGGCATGTGGGGTAGAGACAGGGGAAGGAACTCACTTGCTTCTGGGCCTTGGACTTGTCCCCCGGCTCGGGGGACAGGGAAGGAGACACTCAACAGAGGCAGAGACGCGGGTGCGAGACTGCGGGGAGGCTGGCAGTGGCGGCCTCTGTCTGCCTTGGGTTTGATTCTGCTCCTTTCCCCCCGGACCTGCTGGCCTCCGTGGGTCCCACCGGCAGGGACCTTGGACCTGGGCAGGCTTTCGGGCCTCAGCCATCCTGCTTTGGGTCACCCCTGCTTGGCTGGGCGTTTACCGCGAGGGGAGGGGACCGGTGCTTCATGGGGAAACTATTTTATCTATTCTTCCCCTTCTCTTTAATGCACACTAGTTGTGTTAAATTTCCCTTGGGCCGACCCTGTTTGGCTGGGCGTCTACCCCAGAGGGGGTGGATAACTTTGGGTGTTTCATGGGGAAACTATTTTATCTGTTCTTCCCCTTCTCTTTATTACACACCAATTGCATTCCAGTTCCTTTCCGGTAAAGGTGCTATGCTCCATGTATGTTTGTCTTGATGTGGCAGATGGCAGAGCCCATTTAGAACAGGCAGGTTTGGGGGGCTCAGGGTGTCCTTCTCCTGCCCTGTGGCAGCATGAGAGCTGTGCCTCTACCTGCCTGCTCTGAGGGGTTTTACTACCCCCTACCCCAACCCCACCCTTCCCACTTCCCTCCCCACCCCCACCCCTTCCTGCTCCAGCTTTTTAGTTCTTGCCACATTCCTACTGACAGGCCTAAAACGCGTGTTGTTCTCATTTGCATTTTTTTGACCACTGATTTGTGCAGTGATTTGCATGTTTCCCTCCTATAACTGACCTGCTCACATCATTTGCCCATTTTTCTGTTGGGTTTGTTGTCTTTCTGGACTGCAGGAAGGAACTGCTTGCCTCTCTAGATACCCATGTTTGTGAGACAGTGTGTCTGAGAGTGTTTGCATGGGTGTGGGTGCACGTGTGTGTACCTCCGTGTTGTGGGTGCACATGTGTGTACCTCCGTGTTGTGGGTGCACATGTGTGTACCTCCGTGTTTACGAGTATTTTCCTGTCTGTGTGAGCATGTTGTATGTGTGTGGCCCTTGATCAGGATGGGGACCCGGGCATGGGTGAGGTTGTGGGGCAGAGAATTGGGGAGTCTCCTAAGTGCGGTGAATAGGCCGAAAGAGCCACAGATAGCAATGGTAAGTGAGAAAAGCAATGGCAACGATTGGCCAGTGTGCTGAGCCGGATCCCAGGACCTGAGCAGGGGACTTCATTCTGAAGGCAGGGCTTTAGAGAGGACACAAAGGTCAGGTGGGTGTCGGGGTGGGCCTGGGGCCAGTCGGCCTGGGAGGAGGCCTGTGACAGGCACGCACAGGACAGCCCCCGCAAGGAGTGGAATCGGACCCAGTGCCCAGCACTGTTCTAAACGCTCACCATCAGCATTTCAGCGCATCCTCCCAGCCGCCCTGACAAGTGGGCAGGGCGGGTATCGCTCCCAGTCTCATTTTGCAGAGTGCCCAAGGGGGGCCCAAGATGGAGCGAGTTGCTCCCACACCACCTGCCCTTGGCACCCACCCCGGAGACCTACGGACTCATGGAAGACAAGGGTCAGCCTGGGAGGCTGTCCCCAGAGCCTCAGAGAGAGCCAGCTCTGGCCTCCGGTTCTAAATAGGTGTGAGTTCCTGAACTCACAGAAGAACCTGGGCCAGGACAGCTCATCTGCCCCCTGGAGTCTCGGGGGCAGGGTTGGCTGCAGATTCACCTGCCTGCTTTGGGCTGTGATGGATGATGTCACCTTTGGCAAACAGTTCCCACGTGTGCCCCAGGTTGTCCAGAAACCCAGAGAAGGCAGATTTCTTGAGAGGCTGGGAAAACAAGATCAACAAGGAGGTGTCCCCGGAGAGTGGAGCTGGGGGCCCTCGGCATCAGAAAGGGTGTGTATAGACATGGGAACAGGATTCCATTTTCTGGAAAGCAAGGTGGGTAAGAGAAGTGTCAGAGTGACCTAGTGTGAACTGGCCACTAGCTGAACATGTGACATGATTTCACTTCCTCACCTGGACATTGAGAGTAATAACAGTAGCACCCCTGAGGATTGTTGGGGTATGTGCTAATACAGTGGGAATGCTTAGTGTCGTGTTTGGCTATTGAGTGCACTAACCAATTGCTACTTATCTCAGGGAAGCGAAACCAATATAAATGAGATATAAGGGTCAACCTAAACCAAAGGAGAAACCTGAAGACCCACAGGGTTAATGGTATTACTGCCTTGACTTGCGAATGTGACCCTGAGCTTCCTTGTGGCCACATCAAAAAGGGAAATGTGACTGGTTATAGAACTTGGATAACCAAGAATGAGGAATCAGCTCAATACCTCAGGGGAACCAATGTTGCTCTGTACTCTGAATTCGCCAGGGCATTTCTCACTGGGCAGGGGCTTTCATAAGGGGTACCACGAGGGAGGAAGTGGCAGCGTCATTGGTCAGGATTTCCATAGCATTGTAGACACGAATTTCCATGTAATTGCTGCTTGCAGAAGCCTTGAAAGAAAAAGGCAAAGGGAAGCCTGGGAAGGCAACACAGGGAAGTCAGCAGTGTTTGAGGATCAAGAATGTGATATGGTTGGGCCCAAGGGACTTTTCACTCGGAACTTTAGAAGTCAGGCTCTGGAGTGAGACTTCCCAGCTGTGCGACCTTGGGCAAGTTGCTTTACCTCTCTGAACCTCAATTTTCTCATCTGTGAACTAGTTATCTTTGCAGGACTGTTGGGAGCATTGAATAGTCTTTGAATAGCTTTGGGTGTTCCATTGAGAAACTATTCTTTCTTCTCGCTCTGTGCACAAAATTCTACTAAAGTTCTCTTCTATTGAAGGACTGACATACTAGCTTTGTCTGAATGTAGCGAATGGCAGAACCCACTTAGAAGGTGCAAACTTGGGGTTTGTGGCCCCCCCTTAGCCTGCCTGCTAATATGTATATTCATATATATTTGTATCGTCCTCATTATTATTTTCCTGGTTCTGCAGGCTTTAAAGACTGTGAGTAGCTAGAGTTCTATAGCACCTTACAATTTATAGTCAGCAAAGGAGTCACTGTCATTTCATAACACTCCAGCAATACGTTCTACCAGCTCCCCACCCCACCAGGCGAGATGAGGAGAATGGAGCTTAGAGGATGGAAGTCCTTGTCTGTGTTGCCCTTATCTTGTTCTCGAACCAAGGGCCGGGGAGACAAGTGGGCAGGACACATGGTCCCTTGGTCTCCGGGTCCCTCCCAGCTTCCCAGACAAAGGCTTTGTGGCAGGAGAGGCGCAGAAGGGCAATGGAGTGATTATAACCGCACTGCCCGGCCTCCAGGCCAAGGCACAGACCCTGAGCCTTTTCACGTTTCGGCCCTGCGGGGGAGTGAGAGTGAGGCCGCCTCCATGAAGTGCCAGGCATAGTCCCTGCCACACACTACCTGCAGCTACACCAGTCACACTCCATCTGACTCCTGAATGGGAGGCAGCTGCAGGGTTCCTGTCTTCTCATGCATTCCAGAGCCCCACGGAGCCCTCGAGACACCTCTGGGGTACCTGTCCAGCCTGCAGGCTGGGACGACACCCAAGCTGAAACCCCGGAGTCCCTTGAGCTTAACATCCACCACGGAATTTTCCAAGTGGTTTTTATTGTAAAAGAGGACTTTTATGCAATAAAATGTAACTTCAAGCGCATTAAGGACAAGTCATGGATTTATATAGAAGAGGGTTGGCATTGTTTGTAAAGAAGCACTGACTGGCTGTCTTGCGCAGCTAAAACAGTTGCTCTGGAGCAGATGGAGAGAACGTGGATGGTGGAAAGTGCATGGGTTCTGGGGGTGCCAGAGCCCCGGATTCTAGCTGCAGCTGGTGCCTCGGGGCCCAACAGTGGCTGAGGGTTCCTGCCTGCCAACACTCAGCTAGATGCTCTGCATTCCTGGTGCTGCACTTTTTATTTCCACTCTGCTTAGTTCAAAGCCACACAGCTGGCTTTGAGCGGCCAAGGCTGGGTTTGAACCATACACGTGAGCACAGCCTTCAAGACCTCCCAGGCTTGCCAGCGCCTCTGTCTCAGCGTGTTCTTCCATACACTGGGAAACCGTCCCGCTGGTTGTTACGGGGTCGTGGGACATCCCATTGAAGTTGCCTGGCACACCGTAGGTGCCACGTGGCTATTTCCTCAGCAGACAGCGCTGATAGCAGAGCCTGTGTCTGCATTCACGGCACCCACAGGGGCCCTGAATGCCCGGTGAAAACGAGGCTGCGTTCGCAGGGTCTGTTCCATAGCTCTAGACAAGAGTGATGCCACCTGTTTGGAAAAACTTCAGGGAGACAAAGCAACATGATAGAATTACAGTTCTTGGCACATAGTGGGTGCGATGGGCATGTAGTAGGTGCTCTGAGCAGGTCCTCTTCTTCCTGGGTGTCCATCACAGCCTGGAATGGCCTCTCCTGGTGCCTTCCCCAGGTAGATTTGCGCCCAGACAGCTGCAGCCTCTCCTCTGTCCCACCTTTGCTCAAGCTCTCAGCTGGGATAAGCTGTGGGGCTCCCAAGGGCCTGGATGATCAGCCCTGAGTCTGCAGCTTAGTCATTCAGCCTCTCCAAGCCTCTGAACCAGGCGTAGCCACGACAGAGCCTCTCTCTGGCCGAGCACTGGATCCAATGGCTGCCTCCTCTTCCTTCCCTGCAGGTGTTTCTGGCTGCCTGCGGGGACTGATCAGCCAACGACCCCCACAAAGAGCTTCAGACGCTATCGCTGTGTATGGTAAGGGATGCCTATGATCAGGTTTCCAGGGGTACCCGTGCTGAGCACCATTGCAAAGAGGGAGCATAGAAGAACACCAGCCTGGCCGTGCCCTGGGTTTGGGACTCATGGCTGGAAGCAATTTCACAGCACAACACAGTTCTCCTTCATTGCGCTTGGCACTGTTGCAATTTTTGTATGATGTGAGGAATTTTTTGATGAATGCTCATCTCCCTCACCAGACTGTGATGGGGGGGCAGAGGGTTCCGAGGAGGCAGCAAAGCATGGTAGTCAAGAGGATAGGTTCTGAAGTAGGGTTAACTCTCACCTTTGCTTCTTCCCAGGTCTCTGACTTTGGGCAATTTACTTAAACTCTTTTTACCTCAGTTTCCTCATCTGTACAGTGGGGCTCATGACCTACTTACCTACCTCACTGAGCTGTTTCAAAGATTAAAAGAGGCTTTTATGTCTTAAACCCTTAGATAGTGCCTGGTTTTAGGAAGTGCTGAGGAGGCTAAATAAAATAAAAGGGCAAAGCAGGAAGTGGTTAAACCACCAAATGGCCTTTACTCAGAACCAGGGAGGGCATGGGGGGGGGCCCACCTCTACAAGCTGGTTCCAATCAGGGTTCCCCTAACGGCCCCTGTGTTCCCTTGCAGAGAATGGATTATTATAACAGCTCCCCCACTCCTGCTTACGATGATGATGATTACGGAGTGTATGAAAGTGACCCCATCATGGTTCTGGAGGAGTCACCGTACGTAGAAGGCAGGTTGGCCAGAATCTTCCTGGTGGTGGTCTACAGCATTGTGTGTTTCCTCGGGGTCCTGGGTAATGGCCTGGTGATCATCATTGCCTCCTTCAAGATGAAGAGGACAGTGAACACGGTCTGGTTCCTCAACCTGGCCGTGGCGGACTTCCTGTTCAATGTCTTCCTCCCGATCCACATTGTCTACGCCGCCATGAACTACCACTGGGTTTTTGGGAAGGTCATGTGCAAGATCAGCTACTTCCTGCTCATCTACAACATGTACACCAGTGTCTTCCTGCTGACCATCATCAGCTTTGACCGTTGCATCTCTGTGCTGCTCCCGGTCTGGTCCCAGAACCACCGTAGTGTCCGGCTGGCCTACATGGCCTGCATGGTCATCTGGGTCCTGGCTTTCTTCTTGAGCTCTCCGTCCCTCATCTTCCGGGACACAGTCGATCGGCAAGGGAAAATTATCTGCTTCAACAACTTCAGCCTGTCAGCAGCAGGCTCTGACTCACAGTCAGGTCACTCTGGACAGGACCCTGTGAGCTTCACCCGACAAATGGTGGTGACCATCACTCGCTTCTTCTGTGGCTTCCTGGTCCCAGTCCTCATCATCTCAGCCTGCTACTTCACCATCGTCTGCAAGCTGCGACGCAACCGCATGGCCAAGACCAAGAAGCCCTTCAAGATCATCATGACCATCATCATCACCTTCTTCCTCTGCTGGTGCCCTTACCACACACTCAACCTCCTGGAGCTCCACCATGCCAATGTGCCCAGCTCTGTCTTCCACCTGGGTTTGCCCCTGGCCATGGCCATTGCCATTGCCAACAGCTGCATGAACCCCATTCTGTATGTCTTCATGGGTCAGGACTTCAAGAAGTTCAAGGTGGCCCTCTTCTCCCGCCTGGTCAATGCTCTGAGTGAAGACACAGGCCACTCCTCCTTCCACAGCCACAGGAGCTTTACCAAGATGTCCTCGATGAATGAGAAGTCCTCTGTGAATGAGAGAGAGACCAGCATGCTTTGAATGCATAGGAGTCGCCTAGCAGACACTCTCAAACTTAGAGCCCTGAAGCTGTGCCTTTTTCAAGACCAACGCAAGAACTACTTCAGTATTTTGCCTGGGCATGAACAAGGTTTGGGGCTGGGAATTCAGGGCTTGGGAGCCCTTTCTTCAAGTGGCATGTGGGCAGAGCCACATCTTGTTTACAGCTTCAGACCAGCATCCCTGCTTCTTGGGAGTCTTGCCTTGAACAATGCAAGTAAAAAAGGGGGTGTTCTCAAGGATGTTGCCATGGATGGGGACTGGCGTCAGACAACAGGATTAAGCTACCTACTATGCTCTCCCCAGGAAAGACTCAAGCACTCTACAGGTCCATTCCTGGTGTGAGCAGAGGTAGTATCAGAGCAAACCCCATGTCACACTCACCCTGTACACCCTTACAGGGATAGAATTATCTGCTTCAACAACTTTCGCCGTCAGTGGCTGGCAGAATTGAGTGGACAGAAATCCCACCACTCAAGCCTGTACAAATGCCCAGGTTCCTGGGGGAGGAAGACAACCTAGGAGGCCAACTTCCAAGACCTTGCACTTGGCTTTCAGATGAGCTGTGAAGACAGACAATAGGCCCTAGGGGGTCACGTGAGCTCTTTGTTAGAACCATACAAAGAGGGCTGCAGTGAAGACTTGGGTCTGGGAGAAGGCACAGAGGAAGCAGGCCCTTCCAAGAGCTCTGGAGCCTCCCACAGCTTAGGGGTCAGCTGTCTTGGGGAGTGGGTTAGGGATGGCTCTGGCTCTGCTCTTACTTTGCACTTCTGAGTGGGACAGTCTGGGGTAGCTATGGCTACCGCCTCCATTTCTCCACAGGGATTCCTCCCTCCTTCCTCACCCGCTTGGCTTTGGCTGGAGATGTTCCCAAGTCAGAATTCCAGAGGGGCGGGGATGGGAGTGGCCAGGTGTCCCTGTCCTTCTCTACTGCCTCACAGCTTTCCTATAGACCAGCCCCAAAGTGAGTTCCACAAGCACCCTGGGAGCACTTGCAGGGCAAAGCGCTGAACTTGAACTTGAAACAGAATCTGGAGCCTGATTCTGTGCCATGAAGGTGCATAGCACACTGCTTTTCCTCATCGAGCACGACACCTTCCAGTGCTTCAGTTTCCACTTACAAGTGACAGAGCTCAAGTTCGGGGAAGGAAGCAACTCATTCAACGTCACACAGTGAGCCAGAAACAGAGTTAAGATCTGAGCCCAGCTTGGTCTGGGCCCAGAATCCTGTTCTTTTCTGGAGAATGCATTTATTGAGAATATTCTACACAATGATACTAATCTACATTATTTAGCACTTCCTATGTTAAGCACTTTATACTTTATCTCATTTATTCCTACATGAGTTAGGTTCACTATTACCTATTACTTTGCCTTTACCCATGAGCTGTCAGAGGTTCAGAGAGGTTAAGTCACTTGCCTGAGGTACTCAGCTGGTCCCTCTGCCAGAGCCTTAATTTAAACTTACATTTGGCTCAAAAATCTGCAGAAATCTTGAGGTTTTGACCATAACTATCGAATCCTCAGTGGGTTAATGCAAACATCTTAACAGCCTTTGCATCAGCTTTGCAAATGTTTTCAAAAATGATCTAACATGGCAAAAAAAAAAATTTACTTGCCCTTCTGCTTCCTTGACACGCACGTCAGTAGGCACCCAGAAGGACCCCCAGCTCCTGCACCCCTGAGTGCTCCAGACTGCAGTGGGGAGAGGATCCTGGCAGGAAGCAGCCTCTTGTGGTCATGAGGCCCTCTGGCCCCCACATGTCCACATTCAATTCAGTTGCGATCCTCTCCGTGGCGAAGCCAACTCTCCAAGAAGCTGCAGTGAGCAGATGTAATGTCTACACAGCAGTAAGTTCCTGAGGCCACAGGCTGTTTGGCATCACACTTCATTAAGAGACAAATTGTTTCTTTCCTCCTTGGGTCTTGGAGCTGATGACTAGGCAGCTCTGAATTGACCCGGGGCTGGGCTTCTGCTTGCCTCAAGCAGTCTGAACATGGGCAGTTTGAGAGCAAGAGGGGAGCCTGCTGGCTGCCCGGCCTGCCCTCCCTCTCCAAGGACACAAAGCTGGTGGCTGAGGCACCAGGCGCCGGGGCCCCTGCAGGTCCCGCAGAGTACGTCAGCCACCAGGACTGTTCCCCCAGGCCCGTGCTTCTTCCCAGGCCTGGTTCTCACTCCTCCCTGGCTGTGTGGAGGCCAGGCCTGGCCGAGCAGGAATCATTTTGTTGTTGGGAAAGCTGATGAACAGGAGCAAAATTCAAACCGGCTGTTTTCCCCTTTCGGGTCGGGCCTCCTTTCTGGCTGCCCACCAGTCTTCCTGCCCTGACTGTGGTTTCCCATTAAATGTCCAAATACAACCACAACCGCCCCTTTAACCTCGTCCTTACAGATTCTTCTGAGCCAGAGCCTGGCCAGCAGGGCCTCAAAGCTGCCCCTGGGTGGGTGGGTGGGTGTGTGGGCTGAGGGGCCAGGGGGCAGCGGGCACAAGAGAGGAGGGCATTTGGGGACAGGGCAGGAGGAGAGAGATGCATCAAGCCCGTGGGAGGATGGTGATGAGGGAAAGCTACCCAACACTTGCTGAGAATCTACCATCATCAGGCACAAAAGCTCATCACATTTTCAGAAGGGTTGTACAGTAAGTCCCTCGGATGGGGTGGGTGGTGCAGACAGGGCCGCCTCCCCCACTTGGGGCCTCACAGACAGCACGCGGCAGCTGGGGCTGTGAGCTCCTTTTTCTGCCTGAGCTCCCAAGCCCACACAGAAGCTTCGATCTACATACCATGCATCCGTCCACTTGCCCACTCATTACCCACCTGCCGGCCCCCTGAACATCGCGCCCATTCACCTCAGCATCCCCCGCACTCATCTCTTCACACACCGGTGCAGCCGCCCACCCATCTATGTACCCTCTACCATCTACATACATCTCTGCAACCACCACACATCCAGGCCATAAAAATGGATGTGCCAGGCCCTCTGTGCCAGCATGTACACAGCCTCTGTCCTCATGAGCTCCTTCCTGGGCCAGTGGGAAAGCCGGATGATGAGTTTTAAAACCACACCCCAAATGGGAAAGACCAAAGTGGGTGCCTAGCCCCCGTGATAAAGGTCTGACCCCGCTGGCGGATACTGCTGACATGGAGGGCCTGGTCGGCAAAAGAGTGAGAATGAGGGGGGACCCGGCCCGGGGAGAGGAGGGCCAGGCCAGACGCGGGGTGAGGGCAGCTGGCACAGGCGAGTGGCCTCCCCGGACCTGCACAGAGGAGGGAAGGGGCTGCTCTGGGGAGGACAGAGGCAGCGGCAGGCGCGGCCCGGCTGTCTCCAGAGGAGCGTGATGGTGTGCGGCCTGCCACGGCCAAGGCAGAGCTCACACGTTGCTCCCGAGCTAGCCTCGCTTGCTCAGGGGAGCAGTTAGTGGGAGACCAGCCCTGGGCCCATTTCAGCTGCTCAGAGGCCTCGGTGTGTTGCTTTATTGACGGAAATTAATTGTAAATATTATTCAAATTTACCTCCCAGTGCACAATTATATTTCTCAGGGGAGCCCTCTGAGCACATAATAAAGCCCTATAAATAATACATGTATTAACCTAAGAGCAGCAGCTCATGCTAATGCAGCAGTTGCCCGTGCAGATGTGGGAATTTATGCAGATGACACCCCCAAGTGAATGGATTTGGGGTTTCACTTCAGAAGTCTCCCCGAGTCCTTTCCTGGGGGCCACCAAGGATTGGATTCCCTCTAGGCACTTCCAGTTCACTATCTCACTGAGTCCTTACAGGGGCTGTGCTATCTCCATGTGCAGAGGAGGAAACAGAAGCTCAGAGAGGTGCAGTGACTTGCCCGCCGTCACACAGCCCGTTACAGAACTACGATGTGAACCGCGGTCTGATTCTCAGGCCACTTGCACACAGAGCTGTCCTCTGAAGAGGTCGTCCCTGGCGGGGGAGCAAGTGGTGTTCTCTCCCCAGAGTCTGTTCTAAAGAATCGGGAGGGGGGACACTGAGTGTGGCCTTTTCCTCTGGGAGGAAATGGTGTCCAGATGGGTTGCCGCATCCTCGTAATCCTGGGGTCTTAAGGTTACTGAGTTTGGAAGAGGCTCTATTTCACCAAGTTCATCTCTGCCCATATTCCCATTGCATAGGTGATAAAACTGAGGCATCTTTGCAACTAAGATTGGGACCTCTCCATCTCCGCTGTGAGATAGGGGCGAACACACTCCTGTGTCTCTTGGAAAGACTCGGGCATTCGCCACGCTGTTCTCTTCTCATTTTAATTTGCTGACAAAGGCTTTGGTGCTGAACCTCCCCAGAGGGCCTCTGCTCAGGATCTGGGAGTTCCTGGGAAGTTTCCAGCAGAATCCTGGCTGAAGCGAAGGCAGGAGATCTTGGGGGAAAAAAAAAAACAAAACAGTACAGGACAGAGACACACTGTACTCAGGGCAAAACCTTTACCCTTCAAAGTTGTCCTGGATACAGGCGAGGGCTGCTCGCTCTTGATCTAGTGGTAGTCCTGTGGCTGTTTTTCTGTGCAAAAACCTTTTATCTGTACATATAAGATGAATGCACTTACTGTAGTCAGATGCCGCAATAAATGTATTTTTAAAAGTAAAGTAATTCGCAGCATGAATGACACCCACTTCCTGTGATGTCCCGCACCGAATCAGGTTGGGCCTTCTCTCTGATTCAAAAGAGCATCTTTGAGGAAGGAGGTCCCTGCAGGGTCCATGCAAAGAGACAGCATCTCTGGGACGACTGAATCCTCCCAGAGCGGACTGCAGAGGTCTTTGACAGTTCTGACAGAGCATCACATGGCCCCAGGGGGGCAGACTGCCTCGGCTCGGGCGCTCCACATTTACCAGGGCCGGTGCGGGCTAGAGTTTTGTCCCTAAGACCTTGTGCAAACTATTCGCACCTGCAAAGGCTTAGTTTTCTCATTTGTAAGATGAGTATAGTAAGAGTTCACTGCTCCTGAGGTTGCCTGGGGCTCAATGAGATGCCACATGAGCATGTAGCAGATGGGGGGGCTCACATGCACCCCACTCTTTCATCTGGATGTGCTTGGCCTCCTCAGAGGTCTCCCCACTTCCAGGTTGGACCCCCACCACTCACGCTCCCCAAAGCAGTCAGAGCGAGCACCCATCACAGAGTCCAATAACTCAGGGCCTTTCTCATGATTTAGAAGAGCGGGGAGGGCCAGCACTGTCTGCTCCAGACCCTTTCTGCCTCCAAAAGCAAAACAACGCAGACCACAGATTAGCCGCCCAAGCCTGCCCCTGGCCTTCGCTTTCGCTGTTCTGCCATCCCTCGGACGCCGATGCCCGCTCGGCTTCTCTCGCAAGTGAGAAGGTCTCTGTGCATGTGCCACGTCCTTCCTGACCTGACCCCACTCCCCGTCTCTCAGCTCCCTTGTTTCTGTTTCATTACGCTGCTTCCTGCCATCTGGAATTATTTTATTTGTTGATGTGTTCAGCTGTCTTAAGTCTGGCCCCTCGGGGCAGGGAGCTCAGGGCAGGGGCTGTGTCCGCCTGGCTCACCTCTGCAGCCCAGTGCCAGGCAGCGCCCAGCACACAATCAGCATTCTTGCTGAACAAGCGAAGACAGACCCACACGTGGACGATTTCTGAGATCGTCATCAATCCCCTCCTTCCTCATCCTTATCACATTTCATGTAGTTGCACCAATTTGTCATTTCCAAAGCATGTTCATGGCTTTTTCTATCTTGGTGAAGCGTGCAGGGGTGCCGGGGTGGGTTAGCCCCCTTTTCACAGCCATGGACACTGAGGCCGGATCACTTACTTAAGGTGTGGGGAAGCCAAGGCGCTTTTCCCTCTACTTTCAGCAATAGCCACGAAGGTTGCCACGAAGTCCTCCTTCCCTTGGTTCCCCCTTCCCCTTGTCTGAGTAATTGCAGCCTGAAAATAAAGGAACCAGATGCCTGCCCCCACCTCCTCCTCACCCTCCTTCTATTGTTCTGTGGTTGTTCTTTTCCAGACCAGAACTCTGTTAAGGATTTGGCCAGTACAAGTGTGACCACACACTTCCTGTGTTTGTCCTTCCATTTGGAAATCGTGGATGGAGCAAAGCTCTGGGTGCCAGGTCTGTGCTGGGCACTGGGTGTTACCTGGTGGCTGTGCATCTCTGGGCCCCAGATGCCTAACCCTGGGAGAACCCTGGCAGATGCTTGGCACTGCCCTGGTCCAGGGCTCTGTTGGGGACTGACTCACGACAGGCTTTCAGGCCTGGGGACAGCAGTGAGAGCTTCTTCCGTGGCTATTCCAGCCTCCAGCCGGTTTCATCCTCATCAGAAGCCTCAAGGGCAAAATCCCTTAACTCTAGAGATGAAGAGGTTGAAAATGTTACAGAGCAGGATGAGGGGCACCCCAGGACCCCCAAACCTGCTTGCTCTAAATAGGTTCTGCTAAGTGCTGCATTAAGACAAGACAGACTCTAGTGCATAGGAACTTTAATACCATGAGTGTGAAATAAAGCAAAGGGAGGAGACAGCATCGTTTCCAAGTCAAGCACCCAAAGTTACCACCTCCTCATGGGTAAATGCCCTGATGAAAAGAGTTGGCCCAAAGCAGAACCACTGAGGCCCCAAGACTTGCCGCCGTCTAAGGCACCGTCTGGTGGGACCCACAGGAGAGGGGTAGAAGGGGCCAGGTAAGTCTGGAAGACAAAGAGCAAAATCAAAATCCAACTCAGGACAAAGGCTGCCACTGTCACCCTCCCCATGGGTCTCTCACCCCCGTCTCTGTCTCTTGCAAGTGTCTCTTTCCATGGCCCTGGGGTCCCTGGTGCAAGTCCAAGGCCGAGAAGCAAGGGCGACTCCTTCACCTGTCTCTGCTCCAGGTGCCTCCTCCAGGTCCTCTTGGTCTCCTTCCTCCCTGCCCAGCTCCACCCTTCCTTGGGTGGAGCAGAGAACCTGGAGACTTCCCTTTCCCTGGACACCACCCTACCCCAAAAGGGGCCAAGCAAGTTTCCCAGAACCCCACATACAGCCAGCCACTGGTGTTTGTGGAGCACTTCCTATGTGCCTGGCTCCAGTGGTCACATCCCTGTTGTTCGAAGCAGTTCTCCAACACCAGTGTGCTCATGAGCTAGGCCTTTTTTTACCCATGTCTGTAGCGCTTTATGGTTTACACTGTTCGCCTGGATGTGCCACTTTCTGAGTTTTATGCATTCGGTTTAGAGGACTGTGTACACAGGGAGAGAAAAGCTTTCTGTTATAAAGTCTTGAACTTCTCAGGAGTGAGAGGAAAAACACTTCTTGGCTGTGACTTGCTGAACTGAGATTGACTCTGGGAGTCAGGATGCAGCTGTCAGTAACTGCCCTCCTTCCTCGACTCCTCTAAGTAGGAGAGTGATCTGATCCGACAGCGCTCCTGACCCC